ACAGCCCCAGCTCAGCCTCACCTCGCACTGGCCTGAAGTCTCCGTTGGGCTCGGCCTTGCTGGGGGCGAAGGGGCTGATGGAGGGGAAGACGATGAGGGTGAAGGAGAGCAGCAGGACCTGGGGACAGAGGGGATGTCACCACACAGCAGTGCAGGGGGACCAGGGGCTGGGACAGCTCCCAGGGAGGGGCTGGTGACAGAACCAGGACTGCACTCATCCCTCCATCCCCCTTGGTGCTTGTGCTCCTGCCAGGGCACTTCCATCCATGGCTCCCTGCATCCACCCATCCCTTCATCCATCCACCCACACATCCCCACCCTCCATCCCTCCCTCCCTCCCTCCATGCAGATATCTTTGTGTTCTTCCTTCCCTTCATCCATTCATCCCTGCTTCCACCTATCCCTTCATTCACCCATCCCTGTCTCCATCCATCCATCCATCCACACATCCACTCCTCCATCCCTCCAAACCCCTCTCCCTTAGCACATGAGGGATGTGCTATCCATCCCATCCCTCCAATGCCCCCATCCACCCTTTCCAGCCCATCTCCACGGATCCCCCTTCCCAACCCCAGGATCCCGGGGGTTTGGAGCCCCACACACCGCCAGGCAGGTTCCCGTCTGCGCCGCCTTGTTGCTCGACTGTACCACGAGGGCCTGGAGCTTCTTCAGCTGCTCCAGGAGGGATCTGGGAACAGGGAGAGCCCATGAGCCCCCCAGGCCCCCCCAGCAGGTCTGGATGGGGGTGAGGGGGGCGTCCCAACCCCATCCTACCCCACACTGTCCCCATCCCACCCTGGGAACACCTACGAGTTCTGCTTCTCCAGGTGCAGGACTTTCCTCTGCAGCTCCTGGTTCTGGGCCGTGCACGCCGACATCCTGGGGCACAGGGAGAAGGGGTTGGGATCAGGGGGACAGCTGGGGGGCTGGCTGTGCCCCCCATGGTGCCCCCATGCCCAGGCTGAGGGGTGGGGGCCGTACCTGCTCTCCAGCCCATCGATATATTCCTTCTTCTTCTTGCGGCTCTCCTGAGCCGACTGCTTGTTCCGGATCTTCCGCCGGATCTTCTTCAGCACCCGCTCCTCGTACTGGGGGACACGACGGGGGGGAAGTCAGGGATGCTGGGGATGGGACCCCCCCCCTGGCCCCACACCCTCCCCAGGTGTGCTGGGACCCACCTTGGTGAGGGGCAGCTGCGTGGGCAGGGTCACCCCCTCCTTCGCCAGCAGCTTCTTCTCGTCCTCCGTCAGCACCAGCTCCTGGAAGTGGCCCTGGTTTGGCCGGAGCAGGGAGCCGGGAGCCTGTGGCTGCTGTGGGAACAGGGAATGGGCACCCCAGGGGACTGGTGGGGACCACGGGGTGGGTCTGTGGTGTAGGAATGGGGACAAGTGTGGGGATGGGGATGGGAATGGGGGGATCAGTGTGCAGGAAGGGCCAAGGGTGCAGACAGGGAGTGTTGGGGACACAGGGACAGGGACTCACGTTGTCAGAGCTGCCCGAGAGCAGCAGGTCCTTGACGGTGAGGGCGCAGGACGGTGGCGGGGACACCACGGGCAGGTCCTGGCTCTCCTCCAGGAAGAACCCGGGGTGCCACATGTCTGGGGGGGAGCACAGCAGGGCTGTCAGCTGTCCTGTGTTCCCCTCTGTCCCTGCTGTCCCTCCCCCAGGGGTGACCTTCCTCCCTGCCATGGCCCCAGACCTGGGCTGACTCTCTGCCCAGTCCGTGACCCCAACTCTGCACCCCAAACTGTCGTTCTGGTCCTGCCCCAGCCCCCCCTCAACACCCTGTGCTGCTCAGCCCAGCTCAGCCCCCCCAAACCCCTCTCCCCATCCAGCCTCCCCCACCAACACCAGTCTGCCCAGTTCACCCCAGTTCCCAAGCTCTCCCCACTCACCAGTCCTCCAGACCTCCCAGTTCTCCCCAGTTCCCTCCAGTCCACTCAGCTCCCCTAGTCCCCTCACAAGCCCCAAAAAGCCCCCACCTGCCCCACCCCTCTCATCTCCCCAGTGCCCCCAGCCCAGTGTGGCTCACCCAGGTCGATGGAGACCTCGGGCTGCAGGACCCCAGCCCCTGCTGGGATGGGCTGAGCCCGGCAGGGGTTGGTGTAGGGGTACAGGACCTCTGGGGGCCCCCCGTCACAGCACCTGGGGGGGCTGTCGTGCTGGTCCGAGGGGGGGTCCTCGGAGACGCCGCTGTCGCTGGTGGCCGGGGAGCAGCTGGGCGAGTCCGACGCCGAGTCCCCGGAGCCCAGGATGGAGCTGAGGAAGTCCTCGCTGTCCTGGACACGCTGTGGGGACACAGCACCCGTCAGCACGGGGTGCTGTCACCCCGGGGCGCCCACAGGACCCCCCCCAGGCCGGGGCTCTCACCCTGCCCTCGTGCCAGGCTCCCGGCGGCGTTCCCAGCTCCACCTCGCGCAGGATCCCGTCCTGCCGGTCGAACAGAAGGTCCAGCAGGTCCAGGCTGTCCAGGCTGCCCACGCTGGAGGCCATGGCTGGGAGGTGACACAGCGTCAGTGCCCCTGGTTGTCCCCTGTGTGTCCCCCCCCTCCACCCCACACAAGCTGCACAGGCCTGGGGACACACTGGGGGGCAGTGGGAGGGAGCAGGGAGCGGGTTTGGGGCTGTCCCTGCACAGATGTGGGCACAGCTGGCAAAGCCCTGCATGTGTGGGAGGGAGAGCACAGGCTGTGGGGGCTCTGGGCATAGCAGTGCCCCCCACACCACCACCATCTCCTTCCAGCTGCTGAAAGTCCCAAATCCTCTATTTTTCCACCTCAGAATGGCCCAGCCAGGGGGTCCCTGCAGGCACAACCCCCCCCAGATTCCCTGAGGGCAGGAGGGGCTGGGTCAGGGGAGGGGACTTATCCCAAGGAGGGGATTCAGCCCCAGGGAGGGGGCTCAGTCCCTCAGTGCCACCCCAGGCACTGGTTGACACCCCAGACTCAGACAGAGCCACCAGGCCAGTTGACACTTGCCCACCTGGCCAATCAACCCACTGACAACCCAACTACCCCACCAGCTGACCTACTGACCAACTGGTTGACCAGTCAATCAGTGAGCCCATCAAGGAACAGTCCAAATGGTCAACCTGTTGGCCAAGTGACCAAAGGATGGACTGACCAAACAGCCAACACACCGACCGATGGACTGACCAGTCAACTCTCAGGCTGATTGATCACCAACCCATCACCAACCCAACACCCAACCCAACTCACAACTGCTCTTCCCAACCAATTAACCCCAGGCTCAAGTGTCCTCCAAGCCAGGTTTGGGGACAGTGTCATTTATTGGGATGTCTGTCTGGCCAACCCAGGCACGGGAAGGTTTTATTGCAGCCTGTCCTTCACCCTGATGGTCCCCTGGGACCCCCCTGAGGTCCATACCTGGGTGAGATCCCATGGATTGTCCTCTCAACCCTCTCTGAGCTCTGAGGTGGACACCAAGTCCAGCCTCCTCCTCCTCCTCCTCCTCCTCCTCCTGTGTGATGCCCTGACCAGAGTGGCAAAGTTTAAACTCCAACTGCACAGAAATAAAGTCCTGGATTGCAAAATGTCCCTGATTGGGGCCGGCGGGCTGTGATGGCAGGGGCTGGACCCGTAACTCATTAGCCACATGTTTTTGTGCTCCCTCGCCAAGCAGGGCAGGAGGGGCCGGGACTGCAGAGCGAAGTCCAGGTGCTATAATTGTCCGTGAACCTTCACCCACTTTTGGGGACAATTTCCCTTTTTTTTTCAGACGGGTGTCTCGGTGTTAAATTCCATTTGGGGGGTGTTGGGGAAAACATCCGGGGGACACCAAAACAAACCTTGGGCCCCTCAGCTCCCTGAGCCCAGGGCTGGGCTGGGGCTCTGCTGCCTCAGCCCTCCCTGTTTCCCTCAGTGTCCTTCCAGGGCCTAAAGGGGCTCCAGGAGAGCTGGAGAGGGACCTGGGACAAGGGATGGAGGGACAGGACACAGGGAATGGCTTCCCACTGCCAGAGGGCAGGGTTGGATGGGATATTGGGGAGGAATTCTTGTCTGTGAGGGTGGGGAGGGGCTGGGATGGATTTCCCACAGAAGCTGTACACCCGGGATCCCCAAACCCCCGGGATCCCCAAACCCCCCCCGGGATCCCCAAAACCCCCCCGGGATCCCCAAACCCCCCCATCCCGGGCTCCCGGGTGCAGGGAGGGGCCTGCGCTGACTAAGGCTCCGTGTGCCCCAGGTGTGGCACAGGGACAAGGCCGCGGCCCCTTATCGGCCGCCCCACGGCCCCTGACACCGACGGGGCGGCGGCTGCTCCCTGGTTTATGGCCCCGCCGGGACCGGGCAAAGGGCGCCCGGGGTTGTGAGGGGCCTCCCCGGTGACGGCTCCCGGAGCCGGGCAGCGAACGGGCTGGGGAAAGGCGGGGAGGGCTCCTGCTGGTTGCTGGGTCGCTAATTAGTGAATTAACGCCCCTCACACGGCGGGACCGCCGGTCCAACCCGGAGCCCGCCGGTGCCTCCCCTCAGGCCGCCATGGCCATCGCCGCCTCAGCGAGATCTCGCGAGACTCCGCCGCCCTCAGCCCCGCCCCTCGGTAGTCCCATCAAGGCTCCGCCCCTCATTACTCAGGTCACGCCCCCGCAGCTCGGCCACGCCCCCCATCCATGACCACGCCCTCTTAAACATGTCCATGCCCTCGGCCCCGTCCGCGGTCCCGGCCCTGGCTCCGAACCTCCAGTACGGCCACCGAAGGCCCATCCCGCCCCCAGAGCCCTCGCTCCCACCCCAACAGTCCCGTTCATTGCTCCGGGCCTCTCCCGTGACTCCGCCCCACTCCTCTTGTCCCGCCCCACGGCTCTCTGAGGCCCCGCCCCCAAGCCGCGCGGCCCGCCGCACTCAGCCCGCGCTCGGCCCCGCCCCCATGCCCGTTCCGGTCGCTGATTGGCCCCCTGTATGTCCCGCCCACTCCAGGCCCCGCCCCGCGCGCCCCCGCGGCCGGCGCGCCCCGCGGCCTCAGCGCGGCCCGGCCCGGCCATGCCGGCCAAGAGGAAGCCGGTGCTGCCCGCCCTCAACATCGCCCCAGCGCCGCCGAGGGGCCCAGCCCCGACGGCTCCGCAGAAGTGAGTCAGGGCCGCCAGGGAACGCCCCGGCCGCGGGGGGCCGGGCCTGGCGAGCGGAGCGGGCCGGGGAGTGGCAGGGGACACGCTGGGCCTGAGGGGGACACGGCGTCCTGCGGGGGACACACCGGGATGGGGAGGGCACGGGGACTGGGGGCAGCCGGAGCAGGGCGGGCTGGGGAGGCCGCAGCGGAGCGGGCACTAGGCCAGGGGGCCGGGATAGGGCGGGGAGGGGCCTGGCGGGGGTGGGACAGGCCCGGGGGCTGCGACAGGCTTGGAGGGGCTGGGACAGGTCTGGGGGTGAGCAGGGAACAGGCTTGGGAGGCTGGGGACAGGTCTGGGGGCTGGGACAGGGCTGGGGGCTGGGACAGGGTCAGGGGGACCGGGAAGGCCTGGGGGATTTGGGACAGGCCAGGGGATTTGGGACAGGCCTGGGGGCTGGATGGACCCAGCCTGAGGAGGGTCTGTGGTGGGTGAAGGATCAGGGAGCCAGAGCTGGAGGGGAGGTTGGGTGCTGGAGGGGGTGGGGTGGGCAGGGGGGAGGCTGGGATGGTCCCTGGGCTTGCTGGGTTGGGCTGGGGGCTGCTGGGGGCTGGGGTGTGAGAGAGAATCAGGCCTGGGATGTGAGAGAGAATCAGGCCTGGGGTGTGCAGGGACCATGCCTGGGGACACAGGTTGGAGCTGGGATGGGGTCCTGGAGGTTTGAGGGGGATTTGGGGCATAAATGGGGGCTCAGCAGACAGGACATGTGGAGGGGAGAACAACAGAGCCTCGTATCAGAGCACACTGGGTGGGAGAGAGGGGCTGAGACCCTCCCGTGGGTGAGGGGGGACAAGGGGGTGGGCAGCAACTGGGAGAGAGCAGCTGGAGCCCTCAGCAGGTGCTGGGGGAGCACAGCCACCCCTTTGTGCTGGGGGTTTGGGGCTGGGGGGTTGCTGCTGGACCCCGTGGAGAGCCCTTCTCGTGTTTCTGAGCGAAACCCAAGCTCGGCTTCCCGGGACGGGGAGCGGTTGCTTTGCTGCCTCTTTAAGGATTGAAGGATTTTTTTCCCCTACTCCTTGGGCTCTCCCAGAACAGCTGACTGCTCCAAAGCCTCTCCCTGGAGCTTTGCTTTAGCCCTGCTGCTCTGCCAGGGGGCTCAGGACGTGCCAGGGGGCTCAGGACGTGCCAGGGAATGGTTTGAAGGCATTTCCCTAAAAAAAAAATGAAACCTTTCCCCGTTGCTGAGCGTGCTCCCACCTCCTCTTCCTCCTCCTCCTCAGGGCGAACCTGGTGGACCTGCAGAAGAAGCTGGAGGAGCTGGAGCTGGATGAGCAGCAGAAGAAGAGGCTGGAAGCTTTCCTCACCCAGAAAGCCAAAGTGGGAGAGCTCAAGGACGATGACTTCGAGAGGATCTCCGAGCTGGGGGCCGGGAACGGCGGCGTGGTCACCAAAGTGCAGCACAAACCCTCAGGGCTCATCATGGCACGGAAGGTAACGGGGGGCTGGGGCTCTCCCTGGCTCTGGGAGGGCTGGTTTGGGTTGGGTTCTCCCCATTTTGGGTTGGGTTCTCCCCGTTTTGGGTTGGATTCTCCCCGTTTTGGGTTGGAAGCTGCTTTTAATGGATAAACTTGCAGGTTGTGGCTGAGGAGGGCTGGAAGTGGCAGAGGGAAGGGCTGGGTTTGGCAAACACTTTCCTCACCCCTCACCACCCACTTACCAGATCCCAAAGGTCATTCCAAGCAGTGACTGGTTCCTCTCAGACTTGGATTTATGGGGAGCATCTTCCTCTGCAGTAGAAAATCAGGAGATGCTTCCCGTGCCTGTTGGAAGAGGCTGAGTGGGAGCAGCACGACTGCTCCAGAGTCTCTGCTCCCTCCTGCTCTTGGGATCATGGAAGCAGAGCATGGTTTGGGGTGGAAGGGACCTTAAAGCTCACCCAGTTCCACCCCCCTGCCGTGGGCAGGGGCATCTTCCAACTGACCCCACGCGGAGCCCCCGAAGCAGCCGCACCTTCACGGGCAGAACCTTCACGGGCTTGGCTTTCTTTTTTCTTCTTTCTCTGTGGTTTCCTTGATCTCAGAGCACCTTCTTACAACACCTCCAGAGCCTGTGAGAATGGTCCTGTGTGCTGAGTCAGAGCTGCTGAGATCAAACCTGTGACTCGTCTTTCCTGACTCGCGCCCTGTGCAATCCCGGCGCAGTCGTGGCCTTCCCTGGCTGGCAGGAGGGAGCACAGGGCTCTCCCTCTGCCTCCATCATGGAATCACAGCCTGCCTTGGGTTGGAAGGCACCTTAAAGATTGTTAAATTCCACCCCCCTGCCACGGGCAGGGACGTTTCCGCTATCCCAGCCTGGCCTTGGATGATTCCAGGGATGGGGCAGCCACAGCTTGTCGGGGAAATCCATCCCAGCCCCTCCCCACTCTCCCTTCCCAATATCCCATCTAACCCTGCCCCTCTGCCAAGTCATTTGAAGTCATTCCCCTTTATCCTCAATATCAATCTGCAGATGGGATAAATTCTGTTCCAAAGCAGAGCTTCCCTTGACTTTGTTTCTTCCCAGCACCCGGGACGTGCTCACGACGCTTCCCGTCAAGTTGTTCTTCTTTTTCCCAGGTCTTACACCCTGAACTCTTTTCTCCCTTGGCAGCTGATTCACCTGGAAATCAAGCCAGCCATCAGGAACCAGATCATCAGGGAGCTGCAGGTGCTGCACGAGTGCAACTCCCCCTACATCGTGGGGTTCTACGGAGCCTTCTACAGCGACGGGGAGATCTCCATCTGCATGGAGCACATGGTGAGCTCCTCAGCCTTCCCCATTCCATCTCCCTGCCAGCCTGGGGCACTGGCAGCTCTGCTGGCTCCTTGCTCTGGCTGCAGTGAGGCCGCTCTGCTCCTGAATTGAGGGAGAGAGCGACTTTTTGGGGAAGAGGAAGCGGAGGTTTTGGGGGTTGGCCAAGCGGAAACGTTGCCAAGCCGCCGCTCTCCCGAGCCCGCTGAGGAGCTCAGTGAGCACCTTCTGAGCTGTTTCTGGTGGTGAATAATGGCATTTCTCCTCCAAATCAGCACCAGCAGCATCGCCCCTGCGTTTCCACCGGTGGAAGGAAGAAAAGAACCGACAAAACCAGCATTAAAAATGGTTTTCAGTGATAAAGTGGAGCTCAGATCAGCAGAGATCTCTCGAAGGAGCGTGCTCAGTGCGGAGGGTGCTCTGTGCTGCTTATCCACCACTGCACAGCTCTGTTTTCCTGCTGGGAATCATCCCTTTGGTCATTCCCATGTCCTCCCTTTTAGGATGGTGGCTCTTTGGATCAAGTGCTGAAAGAAGCCAAAAGAATTCCCGAGGAAATCCTGGGCAAAGTCAGCATAGCGGTGAGTCGTGGGGGCTCCTCAGGCCTCCAGAGGGGATTTCCTGGGAATAACGGGCTGCTCCAAGCCCTTTGGGTTTCCTCTGGGTGGTGTTGACTCCTCCTCAGGATTGGGAGCAGCTTTTTTGGGGTGGTCAAGCCAAGCTCTGGGCGTGGTAAACTGCAAACCCCGAAACCTGCGGGCACCCTGGGGGGGTTTCCTCGCCCTGCAGCGTGTCCTGAGGGAGGGAAGGCCCTTCCCTTCCCGGCTCTGGTCTCATCCAGCCTCTGGATTCCTCCCAGGTTTTACGAGGCTTGGCCTATCTGCGGGAGAAGCACCAAATCATGCACAGAGGTGAGAGGAGGGACCTAAAAAACAGCTGCCTGCAGTGCAGGAGCCTCTGGGGTGTCACCCCCCCTTTCACACCCTGCCCTCTCCTGCCCTCCCCAGATGTGAAGCCTTCCAACATCCTGGTGAATTCCCGAGGGGAGATCAAGCTGTGTGATTTCGGGGTCAGCGGGCAGCTCATCGACTCCATGGCCAACTCCTTTGTGGGAACTCGGTCCTACATGTCCGTAAGTTCCTTTCAGATGGGAGGTTTTTTGGGGTGTTTTTTTTTGGGGGGACACCATTTGGGTTCAACAAAACAGAATCAGTGACTTGGCTCGATGTTTCCACCCTGGTTTGGTTTGGGGTGAGCTCAGGCCTTTGGAAGTGACCTCCTCATCCTCCCGAGGACTTGGTGTCCCCTCAGCTCCATCCTGTGCTCACCAAGCACGTGGGAATGCAGAGACTTCCAGGTCCTGCAGAGCCCTCCATGTTTTATTTTAGTGAGTTTTAGGGGGGTTCAAAAAGTCTCTTTCTGTGTGCAAAGCTCTGTCCAAAAACTGGTGGATGGGGGTAAAACCACTTCAGTGCAGCTGGGATTTGGTGCAGGCTGATGGGAAATGAAAGCCAAACTGGAGTCAGCCCAGGGAGAGTGAACCCAGAATGGATTGGGCTGGAAGGGACCTCAAAGCCCATCCAGTCCCACCCCCTGCCCTGGGCAGGGACACCTCCCACTGTCCCAGGTTGTTCCAAGCCCTGTCCAACCTGGCTCCATAACAGAGCACCTGTCACTGGTGCCCAAAATTCAGGGAGTGGGTGAGGGGTGTCCTCCCAACGAGTCAGGGAAGGGCCCACACTGCACTTGAGTGCTCAGGTCTGAGCTGCTCTCGTATTTTGGGAATGGTTAGTCAAGTCCAGTTATAGTTAGACTGGGGGCTGTTTAAAAATAAGATCCCCTTTGCACCCAGGCACTGGCTCCAAGCTGCCTCAGAGCTGCCAGTGGGGATGACTTGCAGGGATTGGTTTATTTTTAATTTTTCCTGTCAATGGGAAAGAGCCTTTTCTGCTCCTCACGTTCCTCCTGGACGTGAACAGGAACGAGCAGGAAAATAAACTTTGGTTAATAAATCAGATTTAAACACACAGAGAAAGAGATTCCTGCTGTGTGTTCCACGTTCCCAGATATAAACAGCTGTAGATGCTGCTGAGCTGGAGCTGGGGATGAGGTGCTACAAGTGCTTTATGTCTGCACATGATGCTGCTTTTCCATCCTCTTTGCCCATGACCCTTTTGGGACCGTCCTCTCCCTGGAAGGGTGGAGGCTTGGAATGCACAGAACATTGGGATATCACAGACTCATGGAATGGTTTTCCACCCCTGCCATGGGCAGGGACACCTTCCACCAGCCCAGGTTGCTCCATCCTGGCCTTGGGCACTCCCAGGGATGGGGCAGCCACAGCTTCTCTGGGCAACCTGTGCCAGGGCCTGCCCACCCTCACAGACAGCAATTCCATCCCAATATCCCATCTGTCCCTGCCCTCTGGCACTGGGAGCCATTCTCTGTGTCCTGTCCCTCCATCCCTTGTCCCCAGTCCCTCTCCAGCTCTCCTGGAGCCCCTTTAGGCCCTGGAGTCTGAGTCCCATCCATTTAATTCCAACACAGGATATTTATGAGCCTGGGTGCTGATATTCCAAGTCAGTGGATGTTCCTGTGTTTATATTCCATGGCAGTTGATATTCCCCCGCTTTGTGTGTGTGACTATTCCATGTCAGTGGATGTTCCTATCAATATTCCATGGCAGTGGATGTTCCCATGCTCTGTGAGTGTGACAATCCCAAGCCAGTGGATATCCCATGCTCTGTGTGTGTGACAATTCCAAGCCAGTGGATATTCCCTGCTCCGTGTGTGTGACTGTTCCAAGCCACTGGATGTTCCTATCAATATTCCATGGCAGTGGATATTCCCTGCTCTGTGTGTGACAATCCCAAGCCAGTGGCTATTCCATGCTCTGTGTGTGTGACAATCCCAAGCCAGTGGATATTCCATGCTATGTGAGTGCAACAGTCCCAAGCCAGTGGATATTCCCAGCTCCCTGTGTGACAATTCCAAGCCAGTGGATATCCCATGCTCTGTGTGTGTGACAGTTCCAAGCCAGTGGATATTCCCAGCTCCCTGTGTGACAATCCCAAGCCAGTGGCTATTCCCAGCTCCCTGTGTGACAATCCCAGGCCAGCGGCCGTCCCTCCCTCACCTTTCCCACCCCGCTGACGCTGCCCTGCCCTTCCCTTGCAGCCCGAGCGCTTGCAGGGCACTCACTACTCGGTGCAGTCGGACATCTGGAGCATGGGGCTGTCCCTGGTGGAGCTGTCGATCGGAAGGTACCCAATCCCCCCGCCAGACTCCAAGGAACTGGAAGCAATATTTGGCCGTCCCGTGGTGGACGGGGCGGAGGGAGAGTCCCACAGCATCTCGCCGCGGGCCAGGCCCCCAGGACGCCCCGTCAGTGGTAGGGGCTGTGGTGTGACTGCACAACGACACCTCACGTGGGGGATGAGGGGGTTGGTGGGGCTGGGACACGAGGGGGTTTTTAGGGAAAGCCGCCTGGATGCTCCGTGGAGCTTTGGAACTCCCCGGGGGAAAGCAGGGGGGGAGCTGGGCGTGCGTGGGGAGGTGGAGGTGGCATCCCAAATCCCTCCCTTGGCGGCTGCCGAGGGACACGGTGGCTGCTGGAATGTTGGGCCCCTCGGATGGGGCACTGCCACAGCCCCTGGTGCTCCCCAGCAAGTTCCTTGCGAGCTTGAGGGAAGTTTTTTTGGGAAGAGCTTTGCTGGGGGGCTCTCACAGGAGCACCACAGGGGCACCAGAGTTCCAGGGAGGCTCTGCTGGAGCCATTCCCTTGGAAGCAGAAGGCACCAGCAGCAGCAGATGGTGCTCTCCGAGTGCTCTGAGCTAGGAAATAAATCTGGACTGTGCAGGCCTGGTGAAAGAAAGCCGAAATTTCGGAATGTGGTTGGTTTTCTCTTTGACCACAGCTCGGTTCCCCAGCGAGTTGCCTCTGCCTCTCCCAGCAGGAGTCCCCCAGGCATGGTCTGCACACCAAATTGAGTCCTTTGCTGTCCCTAAACAGTCCCTGACCGCTGTTTTTGTCACCTTCCCCACGCAGGCCACGGGATGGACAGCCGGCCTGCCATGGCCATCTTTGAACTGCTGGATTATATAGTTAATGAGGTGGGTGTTTGTTTTCCACGGGCTCTGCCGGGCATTCCAGAGGTGCCAGGGTGATGTGTCCACTCTGCTGAGTCAGGGTGGGCTCGGAAATGTTTGTTTGTTTGTCGTGGAATCCCGGGCTTGGTTTGGGTTGGGAGGGACTTTAAAGCTCATCCAGTGCCACCCCCTGGATGGCAGGGACACCTTCCACTAGCCCAGGGTGCTCCAACCTGGCCTTGGACACTTCCAGGGATGGGGCAGCCACAGCTGCTCTGGGAAATCCATCCCAGCCCCTCACCACCCTCCCAGGGAAGAATTCCTTCCCAATATCCCATCCAACCCTGCCCTCCTTCAGCTTAAGGGCCCTTCCCCCTTGTCCTGTCAGACTTGTGAGGGTGGAAGGAGCAGTTTCCCCTTCCAAGGCGATGGGAGTTGACCCCAATTATCCTTTCTGGATTGTTTCATCAGCCAAAGGCGGTGCCAGAGCTGGACTGGGAGCTGGGATGCTTGGATTTTGATTTCCCAGCTCTGGCTGGGATTCAGTGAGGGGGCCCCCCAGCTGCAGGGTGAGCTGGAGCAGCAGGGTGAGGAATGGCAGGGATATGTCCTGGTTGGAAAACCAGTGAGGATGAGGAGGATGAGGATGGCTGTGGAGCACTGAGCTCGCTGAGACTGCAGGTGACACTGGGGTTTTTTTGGCCCATTAACACAACAGTGATGCAGGAAACCCTTCTCCTTCTCCCCACAGCCACCTCCCAAGCTGCCAAGTGGAGTTTTCACGCAAGATTTCCAGGAGTTTGTAAATAAATGGTAAGGATTTCATCTCCTGGCTGGAGGTGGAGGCCTGTGCGTGCTCCCTGACAGCTCCACCTGAGATGTTCAGCAATGCTCTGGGTGATCCCTCCCTGCCTCACCTGCAGCCACGTGCTGGGAACTCCAGCCTTGGGAAGGCTTGGAAGAAAAGCAGTTTATTTGGGGGGGATGCCGAGCAGGATCCCAGCTCCTTCTAAATCCAGCAGGGAGGTGGGGGAGCAGATTCCTGGGGCTGAGTCACCCCAGAGGCACCAGGAACACACCAGCCCTTCTGGTGGGGTGGGGGGACACCTGAAGGTGCTGCCAGAGCTCCCATTTAAACCAGGGATCGGATATTCCGAGGATCAATAATCCCTGCCAAGCTTTAGGGCCTTTCCTGCCTTTGCAGGGGGAAGGAGCCAGGAAGGCCCAGTGGCTTTGGGGGAAGCTGGAGACCTCTCCAGCCTGATAACCACCTTCCCCCAGGGAATGTCTCACGGTGATTTTTTTTTTTTACTCTCTTGTTCTTCTCATTTCAGCTTAATTAAAAACCCAGCAGAACGGGCAGATCTGAAGATGCTGATGGTAAGTGGAGGTGGGGGGAGGGGGAGAGAATTTTCTTCCTGCAGTGGGGTGGCACCAGCTCTGCCAACTGCTGCCCCTTCCCTCTGATGAGCCTCTTGCTCCAAAGGCTGGAAACTCCCAGGCTGAGCTCTGGATGAGCCAGATGGAGTCAGGGAGAGGGAGTGACTCACCCACCTTTGGTTCAAAGGCGCTGATGGTATCAGGGAACCACCCGCCTGTCCGGTGTCTGCTGAGGTGCCTGGGCCAAACCTGGCTCCTCACCTGGGCAGGTGGATGGGAGTGAGGGATGAATCCGAGCTGGAAATGTGTGCTCACATCCCAAGAATCCATCCATGTCCTGGGCTCATCCCAACAGCAGGTGAGGGAGGGGATTCTGCCCCTCTGCCCAGCTTGGGTGAGACCCCACCTGCAGAGCTGCCTCCAGCCCTGGGGCACCAACATCAGAAGGACCTGGAGCTGCTGGAACAAGTCCAGAGGAGGCCACAAAGATGCTCCAAGGGCTGGAGCCCCTCTGCCCTGGAGCCAGGCTGGGATAGCAGGGGGGGTTCACCTGGAGAAGGGAAAGATCCAAGGAGACCTGAGAGCCCTAAAGGGGCTCCAGGAGAGCTGGAGAGGGACTGGGGACAAGGGATGGAGAGACAGGACACAGGGAATGGCTTCCCACTGCCAGAGGGCAGGGCTAGATGGGATATTGGGAAGAAATCCCTGCCTGTGAGGCCGATGAGGCCTTGGCACGGGACTGCAAAGAGCGAATGCTTTCCCAGACTCAGCCGTAGCACCAACACCTTCTCCCCTCTCCAGGGTGTATCCCACAGCACAGAGCTCCGCTCTGGGAGCTGGGGAGGGTTCTCCTAACCCGGTGGTTTGTTTTTTTTTTTTTTCTCTTCCAGAGTCACACCTTCATCAAGCGCTCCGAGGTGGAGGAGGTGGATTTCGCGGGCTGGCTGTGCCGAACGCTGCGGCTGAACCAGCCCAGCACCCCCACCCGCGCTGCCATGTGAGCCCCGCTGGCACTGCAGCTGCCTCCTGGCACCGTCTCCTCTCCTCCCTCGGCCACAGAACTGCCCTCCTTCCTCCTTCCCAGCTCTCCCCCACCCCCCGAGTCCCAGCGCCAAAGCACCGACCCCCCCTCGGCGGCGTCTCCATCGCCCCCTCCCCGACCGAGAGCGGGGTTGGTTCCTTTTGATGTGTCTGTATAAGGGGGTGAGGGGGTGTTTTCCAGGCCTCTGCTCCGGCTCTGGAGCTCCTGACACTTGGGAATTGTGGTGCTGCTTGTGTTGATTTATTTTTTTGGTTTGTTGGGGTTTTTTTGTTTTTTTTCCTTTATTTGTTGGGTTGTTTTTTTAATTTTGGAATCGTGTTCGTTTGGAAACAAGAAGGTAACGGTGGTGGGGGGAGGGGGTGAATGTGGGTGCTGTGGGAGGAGGTGGCAGGGGATGGGGGTGATGCTTCACCTCCTCCCTGCTTTTCACTCCGAGGTGGAGAATCAGCAGGATCAGGAAAGGAGAAACCCTATTTGGGGTTACCCAAAACAGTGTCACTGCCCTGCCTGGGGACAAGGCGCAGGCAGGGGGGTGGGGGTCACCTGGGGGGTGATTTATAGAGGGAGACCCCACACTGGGCTCCTCCTGCCCCTCAGAACAAAGATTTCTGCTTTTTTTTTTTTTTTTTTTTTGGGTTTTTCTTTTTTTTTTTTTTTGTTTCCTTTTCCTTTCCTGGTTTTTTTTTTCGTTTGAAACGGTTGTTTCCAAGCCTGGTCGGTCTCGTCACGCGCTGGATGTTCAGGGAAGGGGCTGGATCCGTCGGGGCCGAGCTCAGTCGGAGGGAATCAGGTGGGAACTGGGGGTGGGCGAATCCCCACAGAGCTGTGGCTCCCACTTTTCAGTGTCAAGATGAGGGGAGAGCGTGGATTTTTCCTTCCCTGGCTCCTTCCAGCCCGGAGAGGTGGGAGCAGAGAGAGCCTGGTTGTTCACCGTGGCCGTGCCCAGGATTTGGGGTCCCTCTCCCGCCATTCCCAGGGCACAGGGAAGGGGGAGACCACCTCAGGCTGCAGGTTTTCCTCTGCTCCAGCTGCCTCTTCCCCCATCCCCCAGGTGGCCTCATCCACTGTGGATGTGGCAGAGCTCCAGGATTCCCTGTCGGAGCCCCCCCTGGAGCCCCCTGGGCCAGTGCGGGGATGAACCCACCCAGCCAGACCTACATTATCCCAAATCCACGGGGTTTTCCAAAGGGCTGGATGGTCTCTCCCATCGTGCACGGACCTTGCAGACCCTCAGGACCCCACAGCTGAGCCCCCACCCCCCCTCATTTCCCTGTGTATGTATTTTGGGGTGACTCCCCTGCTCCCCCCACCCAGGGCTCTGCGACCCCTGAGGATTTGGGAAGCTCGGTGGGATTTTTTGGGAGCGTTTTCCTTCCTTTTTTTTTTGGCTGTTTTTTCACCCAGTCAGGCTGGCAGGTGCCAATCCCCTCTGCCTGTGCTCGGGTGCCACCATGGCAGCCCCTCCCTCCCCCCCAAAATGAAGTGCCAGGGCTTGGTAACCCCAAACCCTTCGTGTACCTTTTCCTTCCCTATTTTCCAGCACTGGATGAAGGCACTGCCCTGCTCAGGGCAAACCTGGGGGGCAACTGTGTCCCCCCCGAATTTTGGGGGGGAATACCCCAGATTTGGGGAGGGAAACCCCAGGTTTTTTTGCAGGGGGGGACACCCCAGATTTGGGGGGGTTCTGTGCTTGCTGGCTCAGCTCATGCCCGGACAAGTCACTCCAGGGTGCTCAATGGGATGGATTTTTTGCCTCTTATTTTCTGTGGGAAGTGGGGAAGGGGACAGTTCCTAAAGATCTGGGCTATTTTCCATAGGTTTTGGTGCTGGGTTTTTTGGAGGAGGAAGAGGAGGAAAAGGAGGAGGAGAGTTTGGATCGAGCGGTTTGTTGGTGCAATTAATTTTTTTTTTTTAAACTCGATATTTTCATCGTGGGGGTAGGGGGATGGGGGGGGAAATAATAAATAAACGGCACTTTACATTTCCAGGCGTTTTTTCTCTCCTTGGTTGTGCCCTAAGTGCCTGGAATTCCAGCCGGGAATGATGTCACTGATGGGGTTTGGGGATGCTGGGATGCACCAGCAGCTTTTCCCACACTGTCCATCGGCTGCCTCCAGTGGAAGCAGGAGATACTGGAGTTATCTTGGCACGAGGCAGCCCTGGATGGGATGGATGTGGAATCCCAGGACCTAAATCCTGCCCCAGGGGAGCCGGGATGGGCTTGGGAATCCTTTGTTGGGGGGGAAATATTTGTGGGTCTTCACTGTTTGGGGTGAGCAGGAGAGGGGAGAGGCCGAGCTGGGCCCTGCTGGGAAATCAGAATTAGCCCAAAACTGGAAAATAATTTGATTTTGGAAAGTTTTTGTGCTGTGAGCGGCGCTGGAGGTCAGGGGGTGACGCTGGGCAGCTGCCACAGTGCCATCCCTGGCGCCAGGCTCCTGGGGTGGCACTTTGGGGGTCCCATGGTGGCAATTTGGGGGTCTCGTGGTGGCTGTTTGGGGGTGCCTGTGGTGTGGTCCCTGATGCCAGGCTCTTTCTGGGACAATTTTGGGGCTCCCAGGATGTCCCTGACACCGCGGTGCCACTTTTAGGGGCACCTGCTTTGTCTTCTCTGGCTGTTTTGGGGTCCCTGAGGTGTTTGGGGTGTCCTGCAGAGACTGGGACAAACTCACTGCACCCGTGGGAGGTTTGGGATCACAGTGGGGGTCCCCAGGGTGGGGTTGAGCACAACCCCTGCCCCCCCAGCAGCGTTTTTGGGGGTGCAGGGAGGAACAAGGGCTGGAAAAAGGAAGGCACCCCAACACCTTCACCCTTAGTGGGGCAAGACTGGGGAGGGGTGGGGTTTGGGGTCTTCCCCCCTCCCCTAAACACACAGGGGGGGATTTCTATCCGTGCTGCAGCTGTTTTTGGGGTGGCCCCAGCGCCAGGGGAGGCGCTGGGGGGGCAGGGGGGGTCAGAGTGGGGTTGACGTTTTGGGGGGCAGCCTGGGCGTGCCCCCGGCAGCCACGGGGAAAGCGAAAGCGCTCGGGGAGCCCGTGGCTGTGACGTAGGGGCAGGGCCCGGCCTGGGAGTGCGGCCCCAAAAACCCCTCCCTGTGCCCCCTCCCGGCACGCCCAGGGAGCCCTCGACCCTCCCCTTCCCCGTCCTGCCTCAGTTTCCCCCACCTGCACGATGGGGTTAAAACCACAAACCCCCTAAAATCCCCGCGGGGAGCTGGGGAGGGGTGAGGAGCCGAGCCGGGGGTTATTTAAGGCAAAAAGGGGAGAAAAGGGAAAATCCTGAGGGGTTGTAGGGCCCCCTGGAGCCCTGGGGGTTGAACGAAGCTTTGCTTTTCTTTCTTTCTCTTCCTTTTAATTAATTATATTTTTTTAAAATGATGATCGAGTCAAAAGCCACCCCAAAATCTCGCTGTGGTGTCTGCCCCCCCCCGCTTCCCCCACGGTGTTCCACGTGGATTACCGTGGGAACACGCGGGTTTTAGGGACGGGTTCCCTCTGGAGCGGCGCGGTGGGAAGGGGGGGGTCGTTGTGGTTGTGTCCCCGTGTCCCCCCCAGCCCGGGGCGGGCCCGGAGCCGGTGGCTCCGGAGGGATTGTCCTGTCCTTGCCAGGCTGGCTCCCAGCCCACCGGTGACCTTGGGCTCCGTGTCCCCTTCCCAGCGTGGGGCAGGGGGGGCTGGGAATGCGGTGGGAATCTCGGGGATATTGGGGGACACAGGGGTGATGGGGGCGCTGGGGACACGTGGCGGGGCCGGGGTGGTGACACGGGTGGGTTTGAGGGCGGGGAGGTGACACAGAGGGTGACGTGAGGAGGGGAGGGGCGGGGGGGCATCTTAGGGGGTGACACGTGGTGAGGGGTGACACGGGTGGGTCTGGGGGTGCGGGGAGGTACCTGAGGGGGTGACGTGGGTTGGAGGTGGCACGGGTGGGGCTGGGGATAACAGGGGGTGACACACAGGTAGGGTGACCCAGAGGGGCTGGGGAGATGCCCCGTGGGGTGACACGAGTGGGTTTGGGGACCTGGGGGTGGGGACACGTGTGAAGGGTGACCCCGAGGGAGCCGGGAATGGTCCCGTGGGGTGACACGAGTGGCTTTCGGGGAGCACGGGGGTACCCCCTGGGGGACACGCAGGTATGGTGACCCAGAGGGGTCTGGGGGGAGCCCAGTGGGGACACGAGAGGGTCTGGGGTCACTCGGGGGGTGTGACCCTCCTCGGGGGTGACCCTCCTCAGTCCCCCCCACCCCGTGACACACGTGGGTCTGAGGTCTCTCAGGTGTGTATAGGTGACCCTCCTCGAGGGAGTCTTCCCGCAGTCCCCCACACCCCGTGACACGCGTGGGTCTGGGGTCTCTCTGGGGTGTGTGTGACAGTCCCCGTGGGGGGGGGTTCCCCTCACTCCCCCCACCCAGTGATACGCGTGGGTCTGGGGTCTCTCAGGTGTGTGCATGACACTCCCCGAGAGGGGGGCTTCTCCGCACTCCCCCCCGTGACACGCGTGGGTCTGGGGTCTCTCAGCCTGTGCGTGACACTCCCCGCGGCGTGGGTGTCTCCCCGCACTCCCCCCCCCACACCCCGTGACACGCGTGGGGTGCCACTCTCTGTTGGGTGGGCTTGGGGGCGCGGACCACCCCACTCCCCGCGTGTGCGTGTGTGTTGGGGGCTGTCCCTCCGCTGTCCCTTCCCCGCGTCCCCCTGCACCCCCTGTCCTCGCTGCGCCCCCCCCGGCCGCGGAGTGGCTGCGCCCCTGCGTGTGACGGGGAGAGGGGGGTGGCGGCTGGGGGGAGGGGGGCGGCGCGCGCCCTTTAAGAGCGGGCGGCCCTGGCCGGAGCAGGAAGGAGCCGCATACGGGGCCTCGGCGAGCAGCTTCCCGCGGGGCGGCCAGAGCCTGCTCCGCCCGCCCGCCCCTCCGCACGGCCCGGCCCGCCCGCCTCGGCACGGCGCGGCCCCGGCTCCGCTCCACCGACCGCTTCGGCCCCCGCCCGGTACGGAATTGGGGAGGAGGGGGAAGCGTCGGGCATGGGGGAAGGGGGACGGGGGAAGGGGGGTGTGGGGGGTCAGGCCTCAACACCCTCAGCGTGGGGAGGGGCCGTTGGGTCCGTTGCGGGGGTGGGCGGTTGTTGCCCTCTCACACACCCTCGCTTTAACTCCACCCCCGCCCGGGATACGTTGGACTTGGCCGGGCTGGGGGTCGCGGAGGGGGCGAGGGGGGTGGAGGGGGAAGGGTTCGGCGCGGGGCGGGTGTGTGGTGGTGGTGGTGGTGGTGGAGGGGTTTGTTGGCGCGGGGCTTGCCGGGAGTTGTAGTCCCTTCGCGGGGTCCCCGCCGCAGGTGCGGGCGCACCGCGCGGGGCGCGCGGACTTCGCTTCCCGGCGGCCCCCGCGCGGCGGCGGCGGGGGGAGAGCGAGAGGCGTTGTTGACGGGCAGCGGGCGGGGCCAATCGGGGCGCGCCCTCCTGCCTCCCGCCCCGCCCCCGCCGCCCGCCCGGCCCAATGGCGGGCGCCGCGCGGGGCGGCCAGGGGACGGGCGCGGCGGGGCTCGCGCGGGGCCCCCACCCCCTCGCCCTCAGCGCGACCCCCGCCCGCACCGCCACCCCCGGCATCCCCCCAGCCCGCAGCGCGACTCCCGCGGCGCCACCGACGCTGCTTCGCTACGCTCTTCTTCCTCCCTTCCCACCCCCCCTCCTTCTCCGCCCTGCACGGCGCCCCCGCCCCCTGCCTCCCCGGCCTCCATTGCGGCGCTCGCCCGGGAAGGGTGGGGTCAGTGGCGCCCGGCCAAGGCTCCCTGTGGGCCCCGCGGGGCGGCCCGGGCCGGCGCGGGGGGAAGGCCGGTCATGGGTGGGGTCCCCCGGGGCCGCCCCGCGCGGGGGTGTCGGGCAGGGCCCGTCCCCGCGCACCCCCAAGGTCGTTACGGGCCGGGGGGCGCCGGCCCGGCCGGGCCGCCCTCGCTCGCGGCGCGCCCCGGGAGGGGGTTGTTTTGACCCCCCTCGCCCGTTCCCTTATCTCCCCCCGGCCGGCTGCGGGCAGGGGGGGCCGCGGCGATAATCCCCCCGCGGGGCCGGGGCGCTGCTGCCCGGAGGAGCCCGGCGGGATAAGCCTCTCCCCACCGCGGGACTGCGCAGCGGCCGGGCCGGGAGAGCTCGGCCAGAGGGGCTGCAGCCCCCGCTCCGGCCCAAACACCCCCCCTGCTCGCCCGGGGAGCTGCCGCTGCCTTCTCCTCGTCGGCCCACCCTCCGGGGGTCTGGAGTTGGAGGTGGTGGGGCGGTTCAGGTACCCCCGAAGTGCAGTGCTGAGCCCCCCGTGAGAGAGCCCAAAGGTCCCTGGCCTCTTCCCCCGGGATTGCTGCGCTGGGAGGCTGGAGGCAGGGACAAAGTCACGGGCAGATCGCTGGGAACGTGGGCTGCAAGCTGGGCACTGCCAGGGGAAGGGCTTCCTTGGCTCTGCTGCTCCAGAAGTGTGGGAAAAAGTTGGTTGGTGAAGCTGTGTTCAGGTGGGATCTCAGGGAAAGGTGCTTCCCCCAGAGGGTGGTGGGCACTGCCCAGGGCAGTGGGCATGGCCCCAAGGCTGCCAGAGCTCCAGTAGGGTTTGGATGATCCTCTGAGGGACAGGGTGGCATTGTTGGGGTGTCCTGGGCAGGGCCAGGAGTTGGACTGGATGATCCTTGTGGATCTCTCTCAGCTCCACGGTTCTCTGGGAAGCCCTGCGTGCAGAGCAGGGCTCCGGCACCTCAACCAGGACGTGTAAATCCCGGCGTTCCCGTGTCGAAAGCAACAGTTCCTGTTGTACAACCACAGCCGACGTGACTGCCTGGCCCCCAGCCTGGCTCTCCCTGTTCCCAGCTCCTGGAGACCCTTAGTTTGCAGGGCAGGAGGAGGTTGGGCAGCCAAAGTTTCTCTGGGCTCAAGGACTCTTGGTAAGAGTTTGCTGCCGGTCCGAGTTCAAGATCAACCCTGTGTCCCCAGGGCTGTTAATTGTCCTGGCTATCGAAGCCATAACTTATATAATAAGTATTTTATGGACATGGGTAGAGAAAGGCTCTGCCTGGAAGAATTTACAACCTAATGAGGGTTGAAGTTGTGCTCGGCGTAGCAACGGAGCTAAAAGGTCATCCCGGCGCTTTCTGAAAGTGTTTGGGTTGGTTCTTGTTGGTGTTTTTCAAGGAATCGTTTCATTTCTCAAGGTTTCTGCCGGGCCTGGATGGAACTTGTCGTATGTGGGCACTTGTGGAAGCTGAGCAGGAAGAGACCGGGCTGGTTTTAATTCGGGTGGTTTGCTGGAGTTGTTGGATTTAAACTACTTTAAAAAAAAAAAATATAAAAAAAATAAAAGAGACTGAGAGAAACTGAGCAGTTTATTAGAGAGGAGCCATTCTTGTTTAATATTCATTCTGGCCCCTGTTTAGGCTTGTTCTGGTGAAAGAGGGAGTGAAGAGGCGCAACCCAAACACGGGTGAGAGATGGTGGGATTTTTCCACCAAGCCTTAATTGCATTAGTAACTCCAGGGAGGGTTTTGCAAGGCAGGAGCTCTTAATAAATTTGGTGGTGAATGAAAGTAAGTTCTTCGCTTTCTGCTGCTCTGCAACTCTTCCTGTCCCTATTTTTTTTTTTTTTTTTTTTTTTAATTATTAATGGGTTTTCACTCGTGTTTCGTCTCAGAGGGTCTGGTGCTGAACTTCAGCTGTGCCGTGGGTTTTGTGAGGAGCTCCTGCTCCCTGGAGCTGCTGGGTGGAATTCGTTTGGCCCAGCAAAGGAACTCTGGGTTCCCTCCGTGTGGGGCGACTTCTGGAAGCAGAATTAAAAATTCCACTTGTTCTCCCGGCGTGGGAATCTGGATGTGGGACGCAAATCAGGGGGAAATTTATGCTCCCATCGAGGCGCTGGGATGGTTTTGGGTGCTCTTGTCTTCTCTGAGACCTTCTTTGGGCATCAAGTCCTGCCCAAGTGCTGAGTTTGAGCTGCAGAATCAAGTCCCACGCAGGTGTCCCACCTAAAAACTGAGGGGTGGCCTGTGAAACTCCCGGTCTGCCTTCGAGATGCAGCTGAAACACTTGAGAACTGTGGTTTAATCTTGATTAAAACTGACACTCGAGGTTTTTTTCCCCCGTCTCAGGATGCTGAGTTTATTGGAAAAGGAGACTTGTGTGGTGAACAATTAGAGCCCGGCTCGTTATCTTGCCTAGTCCAGGCAATAAACAGTTGCTTTAGCTACGCTCCCGACCAGCCTTAACCTCAAATTCGAGCAGAGCAGGCTGTAATTAAAAACCTTGAGAGGAGCAGAACTCAGGGAAAGGGAGAAAGACAGGCGGTCTCTGGGATGAAGGGGAACATTTATCCCCTTTGATCCGAACGGGCGCTCGTTTTCGGTGCCGCCTCCGGTGCGTCCGTCCCGATCCCTGTGCCCGGAGCATCCCGGAGGAGCTCTGGGAGGACGGAGGAGCTCTGGGAGGACGTCAGCGGGAGTAAACGAGGTCAGACGAGCGCTGGGATCCTCTGCGAGTATCCAGGGACAATTGTTTCCCTCCCAGCTCCCTGCCCGTATCGCCTTCCCTGCGCGCAGTTTCAGTTTCCGTGTCATCGCCGGCTCCGGTGGCAGAGTCCGGGCGGCGGCAGAAGCACCTCAGAGCACGGTGGGGGCTCCTTCCCCTGCACACACACAAAAGATTTGGGAATCTTTCCCGCTGCAGGTGGGAGGGAACTGACCGGGCGTCCTTAATGTGACAAGGTGCGAGAAACTGGAACCGGGCTGGAGCTGCCCCGCGGGCGCAGGTGGGAGCCAAGGCCGCGTTGGTGAGATGAGCCGCAGATCCCTTGGCAATCAGCGGCTTCCCAGCGCCCATCCCTGAAAAAAAAAACAACCAGTGCGTGGCTGGAGGGGCGGGAGCGTGACCTCCTCCCAACCGCCGGGCTCCTCACGGATCCGTGGCCTCGCGGGGCGCCCGGGCAGCGACTGCCGGCACCTTCGGGATCGTTTTCCTCCCGTTTTTCCACCACGTGAGACCCTCTCCCTGCCGTGGGAAGGGCTGCTGCTGGCATTTTCCACGGCAGAGGATGCTCCCAGGCGTCCCAGCGCCGCGTTTTAACTCCCTCCTGCCCGCTCTTAACCCCACCCGTGCGCCCGTTTCCTTCCTGCTTCGTGCGCCTCCTTATTTCCCACCGGCAAACTGGAAACCAGTAAGTTGATGTCCTGGTGTTGGGGTTTTTAGTGGTTTGTTGTTTTTTGGTTTTTTTTTGGTGTTGTTGGCCTGGCACGGAGCTGGGAAGGTGCTGGAGGTGGGCTTGTAGCTACAGGTTGTTGCTCTCCAGTTCCTGGGAGCCTCCTGCCCGGACAGGCAGAGCACATGCGGTCCGGGATCGGCGTTCCCTCCTCCTTCCATCCCCCTGCTCCGAGGAGGGAAGAGGAAGGAGGGAGAGCATTGCAGGGGATGAAGCTCCGGGGATTCGCTGTCACACGGAGTCGGGAATGTCGGGAAGAGCTGCCTGTTAATCCACAAACTGGGAATTACATAAGGGGCTGCCCTGCCCGGTGCGCTCCGCTCCGTCGCTGAACTCCACTCTTATTTCTTATTCCTTATTCATATTCCTTCTTTTTCCCCCTCCTTCCCGGTGTGGAAAAGAACAAGCGGTGTGAGAGGTGTCATTTGAGGCAATTAGATTAATGCCAGAGCTCCGGAAACGTCAGGAGTGTGGGGGAGGGGAGGGGAGGGGGGACACGGCTGTGGGAGGGAGAGGGGCGGGTGGGTTTGGGGTCGTGCAGGGAGCAGGTCAGGAAAAGGGGGTGGGGGCTGTGGGAATGGGGAGATTTGGGACTTATGGTTCAGTTTGGGGGACCACGGGAAGATGTGACAGGGTAGGGGGAATGTGGGGTGAGGGGGTGGATGGTGTCCAGGGCCAGCGGGAACAGCGGGATTTGAGGAGTTTTTTATGGTTCTCTTGTTTTAGGAGACTGCAAGAAGCTGTGACAGGGGAGAGGGAACATGGGATGAAGGGG